GGGGGGGGGCAGTGATCCTCCCAGGCGTTGTTGGAGGTTCCATTGACAGTAACAGTGACAATCACTTTGAGTTTGCTGGCCTTAGATTGTTTTCCTGCAAGCTGGAAAATATCTGTGCAGTGTGAGTCTGAGACTGGCATCTTCACATATTGGTGGCCGCGGTGGGATCTGGCTTAACATTCCTCACAGCCGAAACTATGAAATCCGTGCATGAGAGTATCTGGAGAGTTATTTCAGGGTTACGTACTTACATCAAGACATAATATGCAAAGGTGGCTCGTTTATGAACAGTTTGTCCTATCACATGCCTGCTGAGCACATGCCATTGTTGCAGTTAAGTGTGACTATTTATTTTTTTCCTTTCAGTCTACACAGAAGACGGAAAATTGTGTAAGTTTCCATTTCGGCTAGGAGGACGCCTGCATTTTTCCTGCATGTCAGGTTTAATCTTCAATAAAAACTGGTGAGTAAAACTCTGTGATTTAAGGGGGTGAGATAAAGTCAGTCAGTTTTTTTGTTATGTATACCATTATAACCAAATCTCCTCAGATTCAGTTGGCTGATTGAAATAATAATAAAGTATTGAAATGCATACAGAGAGTATGGTCTATCTACTTAGAGTGTATTTTCACTTTTGCAGTCAAATTTAATAAAATATTTCTTACACTTTAAATATTTTATTGCAGCATCAAGATGACTGAATCCAGTGATCTGTCCTTTATAGAAAGACTTAGGACTGAAATTTGAGGATTATGTTTTCTCTCATTAAGGCTTTTAATCTTTTATCCCTTTGTAAGGACAGGCACTGTTCAAATCTACTTTACAAATTATAATGAAAGCAGCCAGGAAGAGCCAGCACAATACAGACAGGGTTAACAAATTCCTCACAGCCCCTCCCAACATTACAAAAAAGGAGAAGCAAGTACAAATTGTAACCCTTAAGAAACCCTAAGCCAGCTAAACGCAATTTAAACTGCAAGAAACCTTCTTTTTATTTTTAGCTTGTGCTATGCGAATGGGAGCATATAACCTAAAATAGGTGTTATCACCATTTTGGCAAGCGAAAGTGGAAATACACTTTAAGGTAGTAACAAAGTTGTTTAAAGAGAAGCTGCCATCTGATGTTTGTAGACTAAGCACATTTTAGTGAATGAGGTTTCATTGAAAACAAAAAGCACATGAAAACATGGCAAAAGGGCCCATTTACATTTTTGCAAAGCAAAAGAACTGCAGCTACCACACCCAACACAGTATTATAGTAGCAAATAAGGCATCCACAGTGCAGTGCACCACACCTTTTAAAAGAAAAAAAAAACTAAAAAAGGTCTATTTTCTGTGCATCATTAAGATGCGCCGACAGCACATTCCAAATAATTGGGCTAATGTTAATCTTTTTAAAAAAAGATTATACTTATTTAGAGTAGTAAAGCAGTAAAAAGGCAACATACGACGTAGTCCTTAACTCATGATATGTACTCAACACAAGCCAGCATGCATGATGCAGTACAAATAAAGCACTGATATCTAGGTCATGAGAATCCACACAGGAAGCTAAGGCTCACTCTGTATGGGGGTCTAATGAGAGGGGCATATTACATGCACCACATGAATATCAAGGGTGAGAGAACTGCAAAGTCAAGAGAGACAAGAGACAATCAAAAGAAGGATAGGAAAGAAGCAGAAAAAAAAAGTGTAGAGGGGAAAACAAACATTCAAAGGGGGCAGGGACACCAGCCTTAGAGGGGCAACACTCACCTTGTAAAACAGAGGTCCTGAAAAGAAAGGGATGGCCAACCGACCATCTCATGTGTCGAACATCTCCCAGTTGAGTAGAAATCCTTTAATAGATCCAGGGACTCTAAATATTATAAAACATGGCAATCATATATATTTGCTGTTAGCTCTTCCATATGTCTCAAGTGTTGCTTCTTCAGTCTATTCATGAGGGGGGAACAGAGGATCTTCAGTGACATAGGGTGAGATTCTACCTGGAAGGATGGAAAAGAGGGCAAGTTGTAGGGAGCGATGAACCCCTATGATGGATACGTGGTCAAATACAGGAGATCAGATAGTGGTAGGATTAGGGCACTCCCACCAGAGGTGCAACATGGTCCCTGGCAAAGGAGTGGCACCTCCAACAAATGTCAGAGACTTGAGGGGACTTGAGTGTGATCTGGTAGGGCAGTGATACCACTTGGTGAGACTTTTAAAATTATTTTCTTGCAATCAACTTTATGGGTCATACGGCATGCTTTAATGCAAAATTATGCATTGTATAGACATATATAAACTGTTCAAAGTCAGCTTAAGAGTCTCCAATGATCATGTACCTATACTGTATTTTAGGTGTGCTACAACACATAACTATGACCGAGACAAAGAATGGGGGGTTTGTGTCACAAACACAAGTGTGGAAGTGGGTAAGTCTGTCTTTAGTTGCATTTATCTTGATATTTCCTGTAATACGATGTTCAGCAGAACTCAGACTGGCAGAGGAGGGGCAGTATTACGAGCCAATCAGGTGTGCTGGCATGCACCATGTGCTGACTGGAAGTGAAAGGCAACAGTTGTGCTGCTGCCCACATTTTATCTAATCGGCAGGCTAAGGGTGTGTTATTGACCAAGCTGCTGGTGCAGCTTGTGCAGCTGGTTGTGGCAGGGGTGTCTAGATCACCAATCTATGTGGCACGGGTGTCTAGATCACCAATCTGACTGTGTGGCAGGGGTGTCTAGATCACCAATCTGGCTTCACAGTACTACGGTACTATTGGCAGGTAACACATGCCCATAATATATTTTTTTCTAATAATTTTTTACTTTTTAATCACCTTTTTTTATTTTTTTTTATTTTAATTATTATTATTTTTTACTTTTCTTTTTTACATTTTTCTTTTTTTTTTAAATTTCAATTTATTTTATTGCTATCACACAGGAGCTAACAAGTCCCTGTGTGATAGCATTTGGGGGTGACAGGTTCTCTTTATTGAACCTGTCACTTCCAATACAGGAGTTCTAGTATAGCACTGTGCTGGAACTCCTGTGACAGCTGAGAGGGGAAGGCTGCAAGTGCAGCTTTCCCCTCTCACTGTTTACACAGTGCAGAGCGGAGAATGGACCTTCCCCGCTCTGCTCCCCCTTCTCCATCCAGAAGATCTCCAGAGAGAGCTACCGGGCGGGGGGAGGACGGACCTGCAGTCTTGTTACAAGCGATCTTGGCGACATCGCCAAGATCACTTGTAAACGAACGAGCGGCTTCCCCGTTCTACATTTAGCTCTGCTTTGCCCAAAGCAGGGCTAAATGTAGAAAACAACTAACCGCCCCCCTGCTGCCCCTCTGCTACCTGCTGCCCCGAGGCTAGACCTCAGTGGCCTTGTGGGAAATTCAGCCCTGCAGCCATGAATGTATTTCAACTGTGTATTTAGCTGACTGCCTGGAGTTCAGATCATATGATCACATGGACAGCCCCATGCCATGAGTCACATGACTTCCGCCAGTCCACAGCTAATAGGAGGCACATCAATAGAGAGTAATATTGGGACTGATCTGGTGATCAAGTGTTTCAGCAGCAAGCAGGGAGAAGGGAATGCTGGCCCCTGGTGACATGAGTTGTCAGCACAAATTAGGAGTAGAGCCATGTGGGGAGCAGATTTTAGCTGTAGTGTGAATCCAGTGAAAGGGACTATTTGTACTTTTTCCCTCATTATTGTAAGGGGGTTTCGTGACCTTGTGCGAAGTCTACTTTAACAAAATCTGCTCTGTGTGGTTTGTTGATATTTTTATATTCCAGACCTGCTTTGTATACACAGTCTAAAACAGAAGCCAAGTACATTTATTCCAATCCTGAAATATACATTTCCTAGAAAACAAAGAATCTGCTTAATTTATGGATCTCTCCTCCTGTACATAGAATTCTAATTTCATTACAGCAAAGCCATTATATTATTATTACTATGGACTCCATCCAGCCCAGGCAAGATGATGAACTGCTAACGGCTGTTATTTCTGTGCACCTCTTTCACCCACCCACCCAGGATTTTGTTCCACCAATGCTAAAGCTGGATATTTCTATAACCAGCTGAACGCTTTACTGTAAACATTTTACTTTTCTTTAAAGAGGACCTGACATGGAAAGAAAGGGGAAAAAAAAGCTAGCACTCCAACTGAACTTCCAAGATGATGTTTTAATGAAGTCCCATATTAGGCAAAACACTATTTGTTACCTTGCAAAAGAGGGTCTGCGTGAACCTTGAAACCTTGGTGTCTGATATGGGACTCAATAAAACTGTCATATTGGAAGTTCAGTCGTAGGGGGTGTGCTGGTTGTGCACTGTTTGTCAGGAGCAGGGTATGACGCCGGTTAGAGCGCCCTAGGTTGCTTGTTTGAACAAACAAGGCTGCTGTCATTTCATCTGAGATATAACATAACTTCTACACAGCTTAGCCTCCGTTCACTCTATCATCTACCTCATCAACCACTCAGTGTCTGCAACCCCTCTCTACCAATCCCTGCACTAGCTTCCAATTAGGGTTGCCACCTTCTCTTCAAGTGAAACCCGAACACTCTATGGCCGTGAGCGGCAATTTTTTTGGGGGAAGAATACAGAGGAGTGGCATCCAGGAGAAAAAGCAAGAAGAGACAGCCAGGGGAGGGAGTAAAGAGAATGGCTATAGAGGACTACAGCAGTACATTATACAGCAATACAAGATAATATGAAGCTACATACTCTGTGTTGTTCTGGGTTGGCGCCCTGATGTCTCCAGGTGGCCTGATGGCCTGTGCAGGCTCTCAGATGGGCTGCGCTCACTCTCATGTGGGCTGTTATGGTAAATAAGGTCAATACCATCACTGTAAGCATCCTGTCCCTTTGTTTATGGTCAGCTGTGGGGCAGGGGATGCCCCAACCCAGATCTGATTGGGTGGGTGGCCCATGTAGCTTCTGTGTTTGGAGGATCAGATTTGTTCCGAACCTGAGCTCATCCCCATGTCTGAATTACTGACCCAGCATGGCTGCAAACGTGCAACCAGAGTGATCAGAACCCCTGATCTGCATGCTTGGTATGGCCAGGCAATCTAGCATTTCCAGCAGGAAGGACACCAATTGCAGACCTTGTGTTCCTCTTATCAGAGGGGTCTTTTACACATTTGAAGTCATCCAGCAGCATTGCTAATAAATGAATATACAAGACACAGAACCCCCTATCTGATCATCTGTGGCTGGTGCGGGGTCAACAGATTGACTAAGGAACTGCAATTAGCGTAATAAAATACATTTATCAACTACACATTACACTCTCTTCAAATTCACATCAGAGGCGTATCTACAACAAACTGCACCTCTGGTGTCCCGCCCAGTTCCTGGCACCCAATGAGGTCAATGGTTGCCAGGAGCAGGGTGGGACACCAGACAGAGTGTCCCAGGTTATTAAAAGCTGGGCTGGGAGATGAGTGAAGGCCATACACATCTTCCCACCTGACTCTAAGCAACTTGGGGTGCTCTGGCCAGCATAACCTAAGAACCAGGCAGGGAGATGTGTATGGCTCTTACAAATCTCCCCACCCAGCTCTTAGCAACCTGGGACGCTCTGTCCAGCGTCGCATCCAGCTCCTGGAAACCAGTGACATCACTGGTAGCCAGGAGCTGGGCATGCCACCGATCAGAGCATCCCTGGTTGCTAAGAGCTGGGTGGGGAGATGTGTATGAGCGAGAAGAGGGAGAGACAAAGGGTCAGCTGTCCCTGTAGATGGTTGGGTAGCCCACCTCAAGTGGTACTCAGGTCATGTGCCATATGTGACATACCCTGGATATGCTACTGCTTCACATTTGTGCTTTACTATTCCTTTCTTTATGGCATATTGTGTCATTGAATTTGTCTCCGCAGCTGTTCAATAGGGTTTCCCAAGGAGCCTTTGCACTAAAATCTACCAATCTCCAGACATATCATTATGAATTACAATTATGAAATAGAAACTTCCATAAAAACTAATTTTGGGTAAAAAATATCCCACGTCAGTGCTCACTGTGAACTATAGTATTGTTGAAATATAAAACTGAAGAGTAGAAAATCTTAGCATCTCCTGTAATTTCCCTTCAATTAGAATAATTATATCATACATGGATATGTCAGAAAAGAGACCGTGTTACCATATTCCCCGGGGTGATGCGCTGCAGATTCTATAAATCAATCACATGTCACAGTGGATGATAAATCTGTGCTGTCTATATGACAGAGAGCTCCATTATATTGCCTTGTGACTTGTATCGCTGGAAGGGTCCCTGGGGGATCACCTTTTAATTAAGTAATTTGTCACTATTAAAGTTCATATGCTCTGCACTTTTGCCACCATAATTGCACCTTTTGGCTGGCGTAACCTAACAAAGCGACACACATATTTTTACTCTAACTGCTTCCCTGACCTAAAGCCAAACTCTCTTGATGGAGAGCGGTAGAAAATGAACGAGGGTCTGCCCAGTGAATGTACACCTAGGGAACAGGAGCTTCCTGTAATAAAGACCGGTCAGTGCTGCTCTCTCTCATTGTGCAGGGTGACTGGTCTCGTCTCCGCTCCCTCCTGTAGTCTTCTGCAGGTGTTCTATCAGATGTTGTGACTGCGGTGGAATGTGTGACTGTGTAATTTCTGGTGACGCGGTTGTGCATTCCAATGTAATCTATCCGACTTTGTGACTGTGGTGGAATGTACGATCTCACATTCCTCAGGTCACGTGAGTCGGGTCGACATTCTTCACAACAAAAGGTCACGTGAGCCAGGTCGACATTCTTCACAACAAAGTGCTTATACTGCACATGCAGAAGGGGAGGGGGGTGATCCATTGTGAATCACCCCCTCCCCCTCCACATGCGCAGTATAGGCACCTTGCTGTGAAGAATATCGACCCGACTCACGTGACCTGAGGAATGTGGGATCGCACATTCCACCACAGTCACAAAGTCGGATAGATTATGTTGGAATGCGCGACTGCGTCACTGGAAATGATGCGGTCACCCATTCCACCGCAGTCACAACATCTGATGGAACACAGGCAGCCTGTAGTAGGTGGGGCCTGCTGGGCCCCTCCCACAGATCTGTTTTCTGTGCAGGCTCTGTACAGCACAGGGATGATGTCACTGCTACCTTTTTAGAATTACCTTTGGTAGGAATTGAGGAATATAATTAAATGAACAATCTTGTGCCCAGAGTTCAGTTTTAAACCCTTGAGCAGTCATTGATTGGGCTATTTGCGTTTCATCTGATTTTGGCTGCTTCAAAGCCCACCTACAGCCTAAACTTTTTTTTTTTCTCTTTTTAGCGTAGGGAAGGGTAAGAACCTATCTCTGGTTTCCAATAATGTATCTCTCTCTATAAAGCTCACCACACATGTTACAATCTGATTGCACAATCTTCTTTAGCTCTACCAACCAGTAAGTACTGCAAGGGCCTGTCAGATTGGATAGATTAAGTTGGTTCTCATATTACATAGTTTTCATAAATCTAAAGTTGATTGTACAGAGATTGTATGCTCAGATTACAACATGTATGGTGACCCTTAGGAAGTTTTTTTTTTTATTGTATCCCCACTGAAGAGATTGTCCCTTTCTTCCATTTCTGTGTACACTTGTCACCTGGATAAGAAATTAGGAAAAATTAAAGAAAAACTCAAGGCAAGAAAGGACCAGACATACAATGCAAGGGTTAAGTGCTGGCTCCTAGACTGATCCCTTCAGCCTGTCTCTCACTCCACTCCAGCGATGGTATGTCCCGTGGCATCCTCAGATCCTATACACTGTTTTGGATGTGATGACGCACAAGACCTTAGACCCATGGCACGGAGAGGGAGTGAGGCTGCAGGGACTAGTCTAGGAGCTAGCCGGGATCGCACTTCGGGTGAGTATATCTCTGTTATTTTAGCTCCCTAGACATCTTCAACTCAGGGATGAGTCCTTAGCCAATTGTGGGATGCAAATGTAAAGTTGGGTACCAGTCACTTTAAGGTTTTTAAAGGTTTTATTCCATTAAAAAACTCAATGGGGTAGAGTGTAAAGGGCTACAGATATCTAGGACAGTACAGAACTCCAGACTCATCCAGACTTCACAGTGCAGAGGGCCTTTAAATTGATTGCAGTAACGCTGTGTATTGTTGAACCTTTGCTGGTCAGTAGACATCACAGAATTCCCTGGGTGAGACATCCGACTTCCTGCGAGGTCCAAGCCCATCTTGTTTATCTGGCACCTCCAGCAGTTGAAGTTCCTCCCTGGATCTCCATCCCAGGAACAGATTCAAGCCCCGACTGGGACCACAGCTGACCACCTGCAGACTGTAGGCATGGTCAAACAGCAACTCGCATTACGCACCCTCCCCCAGGCAAGGGGTCTGGGGAGGAAAGAGACTCTCACAAGGTTAGCCCCGAATATTTATGTCCTCACCCAGCATGCACCACTGGCCATGAACCTCCTAGTGATTGGCTAGGGAGATACACCTATTCGTAACACACCATTATTGGCTGCGGTGCTTTGTGGCAAGATTACAACCAGCAGCAGGCAGAAGCAAAAAATAACAGAGAGCTTAGGGGGAACCAAAAGAGCAAAGACTATGAAATTAGCTAGACTGGATACAGTTCAGAAGAACCAAATGTAAGAAGTCACTCTGCTTAGGGCAAGGTGGCTACATGTAAAACATGCACTGCTGGCCCGGATTTAAGGGCAGGTTTGGGAAGCATTGAACCAACGGGTGCAAGGCACAGCAATGCTGCCTTCAAGGGGATTTTCTATAGAAATACCATACGTGAAGAATTCACTTAGGCTGGCAAAAATAACAGCTTGGCTGAAAAAAGTTAAGCAGTAAAGATCCAGTGGGGGTTAGAAACCTATTTTGTTAGACTTAAAATAGAGAATTATTTTAGTGCATTAGCACATTCAAGGCTTCCCAAGACAGCCATCAATAAAGATCCCAAATGTTATAAAACCGCCTCGTAAACTAGATAAAATACTCCACTGCTCCAAAACGACAGAAATACGTCTTTTTATATCTATATGTTCCTCAGAGAAACAAACATTCTGTCTCCATGTCTTTGTGCCTATATCGGGCACCATTAATAATAAGTGGACCTGGGTTTTAGACACATGGGAATTGGCCATGGGAATTGGCCCATGATTCATTTCACAGAGGCTTTGGGGTTTGCAAAAAACATTTAATCTGCCGTTAATATTTATGAATGTTTATGTATCACTGTATAAACACAAAGCCTTCCAGGATCCCATTGCAGTGCACTCCTGAAGGGGTTAACCCTTCCATTATATCTCATGATGCAGAATGATTTTGTCCTTTTAAAGGTTTAGTGCACCTAGAACTGATATTTCAACTTTGGTAGATGATGGAAAGTTAAACCACCTGACAATAACTTACATCTCTTGGGGACTCGATTAGTGAGATCTCTGCATCTGCACACCTGCTGTGTTCATTTTGAGGGGCTTCCACTCTCCTTGCTGGATTTCAATTTAATTTATAGCAAGATAATGCAATATGAGGTGCCAGAACACACAAAGGTGAGTGGGAACACCCAAAACTCCCAGGTGGATAGAAACAGTCAAGAGTCAAAAATTGTGGCAGGGAAATCTCACGGTAGGAGTAGATATAAGGTCCAAGACATAAGAAGCCATGGGCTGACTGAACCCCACCATACCACACCTATAACTAAAATAAACCATTTGGATGGCCTGACCATTTAGGTTGGTTTTCTCGTTTGATTTTGAACATGGAGGTCAGTCTTCCATTAACCTGAAAAATGTAAACCTGCAACAAAGAAAAAAATGTTTTACGTATATCTTAACATATTTTCTTTTTCTTGCTTCCAACAGTTTTTAAGGACCATTGTGCCAAGAAGCCTTGCCAAAATGGTGGCACGTGTAGCAATATACCATTTCTAAACACTCACTACTGTAGATGCCCAGAGGAGTTCTCAGGACATGACTGCGAGATTGGTTAGTCACTGACTGGCATTACCATTATAAATATATGTACAAAAACACTAGTAATTGTCCTTAATTGCTTAGAGTAGCTTTCAATCAGGTGGAACATATCCCTATGGTAAGCTTCTGACCTAGTGGTACTTACGCTGGGGTACACCTTACAAGACAGGCATAAATTATGATATTAAAACATCAAGGACTCTTAAAAATTTTGTGGTAATTTAATAAAACTGGAGCAGACAAAATCTGGAGCAGCTGCCCACAGCAGCCAATCAGTTTCTATCTTCAGTTTGTTCAGTTAAGCTTTGAAAATGAAAGATAGAAGCTGATTGGTTACCCCCAATAATAATAATAACTTACCCCCTTATGTATTTAAACTTGTAATTGTTATAGGCACAGAGTTTTCTTGGGGCTACTTTAATACCCAACTCCAACTATTAAGACCGCTCCACGAAGCCCCCCCATCCCCCCCCCCATTTTTGTAATGTTATACTTTTAGGCCCCATTCACACCAGATCTGTTGGCATCCGTTTTTCAATGGATGTCAATGGAAGGGAACCAGAAAATGTATGTATTGCGTTGCAGTGCACTAAAATAAAAGTAGAGCATGCTCCTGCTTTTTCGGTGCAACAGATGTAAACGCAAGCAAGAAAAAATACAGAGAAGTTTGTCCACTCAAGACATGTTATTTAAATTAAAGGTAATCAAAAAACAAATAAAAGAAACGCAACATGTCAATGGAATATAAAATTGCAAGAAAACGGACCTCCGTTGACTTCCATTTTTAGGTCCAATTTTGGTGTAAATGGACCCTTAGTCTTGCAGTCTTCAGCCTGGTCTCCTGATATCATGAGTCCTTCCTCTTCTTCAGAGGTTGTGAGTGGTTCACTCCTGGACAGTGTGGTGCTCATTTAATGGCTTAACAAGCACTGTGAAATAGGCTGCCTGATGACGCACCCCAGCGGCCAGGAGGAGAGCGCTTGAGTCTATGAGACCTACATGGTTACATAGTTAGTCAGGTTGAAAAAAGACACAAGTCCATCGAGTCCAACCTATAGAGATACAAAGAAAAATAAATAAATAAGAAAAGCCTAAACAGAACACTATGCCCACAATTACACCCTGTTGATCCAGAGGAAGGCACTGCTCTTACAACTAAACGTCCCAGAAGTACAGTGGGAGCTGTAATAATCTCGGCATGTAAACAAGCAGATTTGCAGGACTGGGATAAAGCTTGCATGACAGGGGGTTGATTTAGAGAAACAAAAATGTTTTCCTGCTTTAAAGGAGAACTATGGGGTCAGTGTTTTTCCCCATCGTTCTCCTTAGGGTAACGGGAGGACACAAACTAGCGTCCTCCCGTTACCCTAAGCTCAGTATACCGCGAGCTACAGCTTGCGGTATACTGAGACGCCGCACCTGGAGCAGATCCCGACGTAGATGACGGGATCCGCCCAGCTGCGTGAGTGACAGCTGGCTCTGCCTATCTAGAGGCAGAGCCAGCTGTACCCGCCCCCTCCCCTGTCCGTTCCGCCAGTCAGCGCTGGCAGATCGGAGCGGGGAGAGGGGAATCCAGCCCCTCCCCTGTCACGGCAGAGAGCCGTGACAGGATCGAGAGGTGAGGGAACCCGCTATGTGTTCCCTCACCTCCCGATCTACTGAGCCGACCTGTGACAGTCTCATTGTCACAGGTCGGCTTAGAACTATGAGGTGAGTGGAAATCACTCATCTCATAGTTCTCCTTTAACCCAGGTAAGGTTATTGTGCTCGGAATTGCAGTGCAACTGAAGCCAACATTTTTTATTTTAGTTTCAAACACAATTCAAGGAATTAGAACACCAGTCATGTTTTATAGCTGTCTGTGTCTCCGTTAGGGAGAGTCACTCTCCATTTGTCCTGGTGACCATTATCACTGAAAGGGACAACAAATCCCAAATATTGGGTTGTCAGCAGAACAGGAATAGATGAGAAATTTCCCTATGAAAACACTGGGGTCTATTCACAAAGCTGCCGAGGGCAGCCGAGTGAATGACCAGTTCTGGTGACCCGACTGACGATCAGGGATTTCTCTCACTTTGGACGGAATTCCTCTCCCTCTTGTGGCCATGGGACAGGAAATGAAGGGAAATCTCCCCAATGGGACACAGATGGCAAACATAAGTTGAGGGGTTATGACCCTCCCTTACTCTATCCAATACTAAAAACTGGCTTTGAAATCCTATTGCACGAGATCAGTTATGGAACCAGGCACACTGACTGTGCAAAAAAAGGATCAAATTGTATTTGTTGGCACGTAGCCTTCTAGAAATCAGCTTTGATGTAGGTGGATCATTATGCTTTCTGTAACAAGTTTTCTTCTCAACTGTTTAGCCAAGTGCTTTGATGAAGCTCACTACCAGTATTACGATATTGGAGACAGCTGGGCCAGAATTCACAATGGAAGAGTGGAGCGATGTACCTGTCAGAACAGCCAGATACAGTGTTACACTGGAGAGCGATACACAGGTAATACCAGTCTCTAACAATATTGCAGAGCAGTAGTCAATGTACATCATAGAAAGGCTAACAATAAATGATATGACCTCATTGTAATCTTTGTTTAGGGTCCTCCAAGCTCCATTTTGTTAGCAATTTTTCTTTTTTGAAATATGACTTTTTAAAAGTCATGGACATGTACAGCATGGTATATACTGTATAGGTAGGAACTGCTACCAGGTCCATGGCTTTCAAAGCACAATCTGGCACTAATTCTATATTACATCTCTGTGTGTTAAATGTCACCTACAGTATTTGGTGCAGTGGCGTCACTAGGGGGGTGAGGCCCGCACCCGGGTGACACCATTGGAAGGGTGGCACCAAAATGACTGACAGTCATTTTCGTGTCACACCCTCTGAAAAGTTGGGCAATTGGTCAGGGACCGAGAGCCTGACAGTTGCATGAGAGAGGAGGGGACCCGGTGGGATAAGGTATGCACGTGAACGTCCCGCCTCTCTCTCTCTCTCGCGCACGTCTGTGATGACCTTGCGCGCTGTTACCTGCCGGCAGACATGCTGTTGATGAACACAGGCAGGTAAAAGTGTGTGAGGTCATGTGCATGTGCGATGACATCACGGCAGGGTGTCACCCGGTGCCCACCCTGGGTGACACCCGGCCTCGGGACGTCCCTGCTTTAAGGAGACCTCAGGAGGCTGGCAGGCAGCCGGGGCACCCCCCCGCCTCGGGATGCCCCTGATTCGGTGCACACAAAGTGGATTTATATCTTTTGTGACTATTTAGAACGGTATTTCAATGGCGGTTTTGTGCCCAGAGTTTTATCTTTAGTTTTACCTGTCACTTTGCCCTGCAGGGAAAGGCAGAGTTTTTATTCACATCCCAGCTGTTTCTAGTCACCAATCCCCCAGGCTATACCATTGCTTGATCCACATTGTCCTGCTGTCTTCACTGTGAAACATACAGTATTATACATATATAACTGTATATTAAAATGTAATTGTTGGGAATGACATTATATTAAATCATCATGAAAGGTTGGTCCTGGTTAGTTTGCTTTGCTACATAAAATCATGTATCCAGATATAATGAAAGGGCCAATGTGGCTTTTTTTAATCCTACATTTACTGTACTGGGTGACCGCAGTCATCAGGCTATAAGGTTGGATTCTAATAGCTTGTTGCATTGTCATCAGAGTAGATAATAAGGATATGTGAAGTGACTATTTTTAATATGAATAATCGACATTTTGTTGATTTGATTTTTTTTTTCCCTTCATTTTGTTCTACTTTCTCCTAAGTATAAAAAACACTGTGCACTTTTCTTGATATTGCTTTTCCTTCCTTTCCTGCCTTATGATTCCAAAACCACGTGAAAGACCTTTTCATCGTTGTTCACCGCTACATTTTTTTAATGGCATCCTTGACTAGCCACAGGGAAGCTAAAATTAAAATGTCTCAAAGTTTTATTGATTGTACCTTTTATGAAAATGCATTGCACTTTGAATAGTACAGTAAAGTGTTTTTTTCCCCTCTTTGAAATGTGAAATTTTTGATTGTTCCCATTTGCAATTGGTCAATTACAAATCAGGTGCTAAGCAAGGATTTAAATTAACAGTAACCTGCTTGCCTTCCCAGCCTGCCTATTGAACCCATGCCAGAATGGAGCAGCTTGTCGTATAATGATCTCAACTGGGAGACCTGTGTGTGGATGTAGAGGAAAATTTGTAGGGAAATACTGCAATATTGGTAAGCCTTAGGAATTGATCCAACAAAGATCGTGTCAAATCCTGGAAAGTGGGTAAGTGGGGCACTGGGTAGAATGGACACTGCACTCCTCTGAGCCACTACTGTCTGAGAGTTGTGCAATATTGCTTGTTGAGAAAGCTGCTGTAGGAATCTACTGAGCATCTCACCACTAGGGCAGGATTAGGCAAACTCCGGCTGTGGTGCAACTACAATTCCCATGAGGCATTGCAAGACTATGCCAGTCACAAGCATGACTTCCAATGTCAGATGCATGATGACATTTGAAGTTTCACCAGAGCTGGAAGGCTGAAGTTTGCTTAAACCTGCACTAGGATCTAAAGTCTTCTTTACCTTGTGTTGGATGCTGCCCTTTGCCAAGGGTGAGGTCCACTAGGTAAAATGAACCTTTACAGTGAAAATAAAGTGTGCTGCCCCAATGGGGCATAGAATATGTTATTACATTAATGTTAGAAGTTATATAGTTATTCATTGAACCATTTTCCTATGGACATTCTATAGTAGGTTATATGCTGCCATCTAGTGACACTTTGTGGTAATGCACTTGTTTTTCCATGTTCCCTTTCTTGATATCTATGACACATTTCCTTTTGTATGTAATGCTCCACCCTTCTTCCTGAGCATAGTACTTACTGTGTCATGGATGCAGCTAACAGGCCACATGTAACAGGGACACATGTACTCTGCATAGTACGCTACGAAACTATCGTCTTTTGACCACATAATACCGCAACCATTCATATGCTGTATACTGTTGTCTGATATACTGAATAAAGCAACCCTTGTGGATGAAAACGTATTGGTGAGTTCAGCTATCTGACAAGGATTGTCCTCATTGATTGTATCCGCTTATACAGGCCAGGCATAGAGGTCTCAGCAAGGGATAAATCACTAGCACAACAATCGGAGTCAGAATATAAAGTCTGCAAATACTCACCTCCGCTCCAACAATGAGACGTGTGAGAGCTTCCTCGCCGGTGCCGACATTTTCTGGGTGTGGGGTTTTGGGCGGTCTAGATTGGCCAGTGCAGGATGTTGTAATCTGTGAACATGGCCACGGGGAGTTCATGGGAGAGGCGTGATGAGAATGTAGCACAGTGTACATTTTGAAGAAGATTGCGAACAGGCAGCTAAGTTTGTTTTATTGCAGAAAGATGCATTGCAACTTAAAGAATAGGCTGTGAGTGCTCTTACAGAGTCCTAGATTTGATAAACCAGAGAAAGGCAAACTGCTACACTAAACTGGGGTTAAGAAATTGAGATTCACCTTGCTTCCTGTGTTGACCAGATTTGACCAACTTCTTTACCCCACCACATGCCAAGTACTCCCTCCTGAGAGTGGATGCACCCAGGAGAGTAAGTACTGGGGCAGTCAGAGATGTTAGCCTACTATACCACATTGGGGGTCTTCTCATACCACCCTGAGCGCAGTCTAGCTACATATAACATGCAAAAAATGGGACAACATTGCCTGATTTCTTCCACCACAAATACTGTAATTGTGGAGCCTTTCGTCAAGTAAATTGCAGAAAATGTTCTTTGACATTAGTCTTCTCCCTGGTGCCGCATTATCTGTCACTCAGCCCCTCCATATGCTGTGGGCTGTGAAACAAGTGTTCACAGTCCTGAAATGACTGATTTTAGGCTCATCTTTGGTAGCTTCTCAACAGCTGCTGCTTTTGCACAGAAAACAGGACACGGTTGTAACAGCACCCTCTGGTACAATATTTCCATAATAGATATTTGGCTGAGGAATAACTTAATTTTACCTCTCAGCTCCTGGTGGATAACTTAATCTGAAAATACTTCGTCTGGGTTTTAATAAGCAGTGGAGCACCAGCACATATTTCCCTTTTAATTAAAGTATAACTCAATTTCATGCAAGCGTAAGACTATATAAAAAAGGACAAAGATTTGTGACTGTTGCCTGGTTTTGCCTTTAGATGTCAGGCAGAATTGCTATGATTATGACAACGCCACTGAATATCGAGGGGTTGTGAAGAAAAGCCTTTCGGGCTTCAACTGCCTCCGGTGGAATTCAGACTTGCTCCACCAGGAGATCCACGTCAACATGTTGGATGATTATATGCGCAAAGGTTTAGGATCCCATCCATACTGCAGGCGAGTGCACTTATTAACTGATACTTACTAATTAATCTGCAAAAAAAAAAGAACAACTTTTATTTGCATATAATCTGCTCATCGAATCTACACAGCTTTGCAATATTCCCTATGATTTATACATAGACAAACTTCTGTTTAGGTTGCTTCCAAATTGATCCAAAATCCAGGTTGATTGGTTGATCCAAAATTCAGATAAAATATTGCTGTATCGACCGTGGCCAGAAGGTGGCAGCGTTATGCAATCAACGCACAACATGCAGATGTCTTGTCAGCATGCTGCATGCACATCAAGTATATTAACCGCATGGGCCAGGGGGGGCCCTATAATTCTATACAAATATTAATTCAGGTAAATGTTTTAAAATGTTACCTTAGGCCCCACATCTGAACCCTACAGTGCTAACCTACGACCTAGCGTAGGAGAACGCTGCGAGTTTTAAGACATTAGATCGGCTTACTGACGTAGGTCGATCATACATTGAGATTTTAATTAGCATCTTGATGATAACATGATAAATCTAAATTTCAACAGTGCTGTTTTATTCATAAATCATAATCTCTCTTTGACCAGAATAATGGCTATGCTGGTCATACGTTTTGATTATTTGATATGACGGTGATTTAGATAAAAGATTTGCGGCTCTCAAAAATAAATCACAATAATGGAGGGGCAGTTTGATCGATAAATGATTATTTCTAGGGATGCACCGATACCAAGTACAGGTACCGATACTTTTCGAGCTCCAAGACTAGACTAGAGAAAAATTCAAAAGTTAGGAGGCAGCTGTCATTTGTAAGAAGCACACGGAGCTCCTGGGATTTGTACATCTCTGTTTTATTGTATGATTTTGTTTTTATAAATATATAAAGTGATTCACCGATACCAGTTTTGCAAGTACAAGTACTGATACTTGCCCAAGTCCTCACAGATACAAGTACTGATACATTTTTCTTTAGTGTCATGTGACAGTGTTTCTAAAAGAATACAGACTAATGATTTCAGGACAGTGGTGGAGCGCCAGAGCCAAGTCCCAGCTGCATCCACTGCAACCTTGGTAGTTCTCATGTATCTGAACATCCCTAATTATTTCCATGGAAACTTATGCATTGCAAGAAAATCTAAGACACTTTTTTCCCTTATGTTGAAGGTTCGTTTCCAACGGTTTGAATCATTTTGTGTTCGGTTAACAATAAGCAAATCTAGGCAACAAGTCAACAGAAATGTTACTGCTAGCCATGAGGCGCGGCCACTGTGCCAAAGTTAAGATTTCAACTCAATTATCTTATTCAGAGCTTTATTACAGTGCAAAGATATGAATACTGAGGGTTCATAGGGATATAACTATAACTGGACATTTTCAGGCCACTTGAACCTCTAGAAGGTGACAGCAAGCACCTTCAGTGGTCAGGGGAGCGCAGTTACACACAGGGAGATTTTCTTAACGTGCAAGCAAATCCAATCCCTTGCTTTGTATAGTGAAGAGGAACGGATCAAAGTAATATGCGTGGCCATGGTCTCCTGCTGTGCTTGCTGTGCACAGAAGATCTTTCCCGTTCAACCAGAAAAGTTTGATGATGAGTCTTTTAATTAGTGCTTTTTTTTGATGCAATTGAATTTTAGGAGTCCTGATGGAGATATGACCCCTTGGTGTTATGTGCTTAAAGACAACTATTTGTCCTGGGAGACCTGCCCTATCCGTATATGTTGTAAGTATACACATTGTAGTTTATTCCCTAGGTTTAAAATCTACAATACAATGCATATTATATGTAACTGGACAAGGGAATTTGGTTTCCAATGAGGGACAGTCTGTCCAAATGAGGGACAGTTGGGAGGTATGGGCTGGAGATGATGATGCTGCAGTTATACACACAATCCTCCCGGGTCCATGCAGCAAAGGAGGAAGCGAACAATCTTGGGTCAGCGATCTTAGCACCACCTAATCTCGAGTGTGAAGAGGTCATTGTACGGGTTTTGGTAAAAGCACTTTCCCTTTGCCAGGCCTATTATATACCATATTCCCAGATGAAGAAGGGATTTAATAGGTTATAGAGAGTTGTCAAGCACAACATGCAGTAACTTATACATATCACAGCATGACCTATGGAAATGAATCAGTAGATAAATGTATATTAAAAAATTGCAAAAACCTGAATGGAGGATTATAAGAAAATGAATGAGCAGATTTTATCATCTCTTAGTATTTATGTCATAAACTCATTAAAGTGTATTTCCCTTTTTTGCAGTCAAATGTGAGAAAACTCCACTATGGTTATGTTTTTTTTTCAAAATATTTCGTACCTTTTAACGGTGTCTGTCTAGCAGGCCTTTGCCAGCTTTCCTTTCAATTTGCAAGTGACAGAAAACTCTGTCTGTCCCCATAGAAAGATTAGGGACTGACTGAGCTTCCTCTCATTTACATACAATGCTTCTAGATCTATAATTGTTTGTTAGGACAGACATTGTTCAAATCTAGTTTACAACTTATAATGAGATCCGCCAGTACAGTGCAGGCAGGGTTAATTATGTTAACATTAACCTGCCCAGCCCCTAATTAACCTAATCTTGTATTCTATTATATACATACTTACAGTCCAACCTTTATGACTTCATCTAGGAATTCAGTGCTATAATGTAAACACTCAAAGATGTTCTTGGCTTGGTATTTTACAGCTGACAAGGCTCGAAGAATTGTCATGGAAGATGACTTTGCGGTTACCACATTTGCCTTGAAACCAAAGTGTGGGAAAAGACATGAGAAGCGGGTTATACTGCGAGGCCGAATACTGGGTGGTCTTTCAGCACTTCCAGGAGCTCACCCCTGGCTGGCGGCTATATACATTGGGCAAAATTTCTGCTCTGGCACCCTTGTAATGCCTTGCTGGGTGGTGTCAGCCGCTCACTGCTTCGCAGACAGGTACATTGAATATTTAGAAGGATCGTATGTAAGTGTAATAGAAACTGGCTATTGTTGTTGTTGTTGTTGTTGTTATTATTATTATTATACAGGATTTATATAGCGCCAACAATTTGCTCAGCGCTTTAAGTTAAGACTATTGGCAGGACTGGTTTAAAGTATATATCCAACCAAAGTAATAAGTAAGGAAGGAAAGAAATAGAGCATTTTAATTTCTTTTTAATGCTGTGCCCACATTGGATAGATTTCACCTCTCTCTCTGTTCTAGGTCATGTGAGAGAAGCTACTGTCTCCCCTTTCTATAGTGTATTCTCCACTGGGAGGCATTAATGGGCCTCAGATAAAATCGTATTAGTGAATATAGCCACAAAGAAAGGTTAGCTTATTCCTTTGTGCAAAGCTGTAAGAAGCAAAGCATTAAGTGCAAAGCGTTGTAACCTATAGGAACCAATCAGAATTTTATTTGAACCAAACCTGTTCAGCATGGCCCTTGATTGGTTGCTATAGATAGTACAGTAGATATTAGCATCTTTAATACTTGCAAATGGATCTTGTAAAGGTGTCTAACATGTTATATTATTTAGATGACTTTCCACAGTACAAGTGATGGATAGGACTAGGCGTTATATGTAATTTGGTCAAAGATACTTAACACCAAAATGATCTATAAAATACAGAAGGAGTTCAGAACAAGGTGCCACCTAGCTTTCTAGATAGATAGATATATAGAAGCTTCTTCACAGTAGCTATTATCAGCCTATGAGGTGCACTGCTTTTTCTTGCTACGTTCCAAGTAGCTCCGCTGGCTGTACTCTGTTTGCTGGCTGTGGGGGAATTTGTATGGTAGCACAATAGGCAGTGAGGACCAACGCAGCACCACGTACTGGAAAGCCCACTTCTCTACCGATGAATGGTAGGATGGATCGGTGTCTCTCATTGTACACAAAGGCCACCAAAGAAGAACCAATAAAAGGTGCCCATTGGCATGAAGGGGAATTTGCCAGCCTGAAATTGCATAATGATACATAATCAGAAACATCCCATGTACGTGGAAACGTCCCCATACGGATGAACAGGAAAGTGGGCACTTACAGATATGATCTGTCATGGCATTATATTTATTACAGATTGGGAATTAGATTTAGAAATTGGGTATTGACTATAAACAGAGGAATAGTGCTAGAGATTTTGATTGATTTAATTATTACGGATTACAGGATGGGTACTAACAGAGGACCATGATTAGGGATTACGGGGCCTCTGAGAGATTGGTGATCCATTGGTGATGGATGGGATTATTGGCAATATTGGATCATTTTAGAAATTTATGGTATTTTAGGTTGCTTTCAAAGATGATAACTCTCTGCTTGGTTCTCACAGGGTGGGGAGTTTATTGTTTATGTATTGTATAAAGATCAGCACCTCAATTAAAGGTCAGCTGTCACATAATCAAACATAAGGAAACACCGCTTTGAATACAAATCTTCAAATAAACGTCTTGCACTACAATTAGGCCCTTTTGCAAGATGGTGAGGGTGGACAGAGCAAAAGATGACAGCTCTAAGTCTGATGGAGCTGCTGATACTACATACTTACATAGTTATTCAGGTTGAAAAAAGACACAAGACCATCAAGTTCAACCTATAGAACTTATATATCCAAGATGGATGTGCCCAACAGAAGTTTCAGGGCTTTTCGATGTCTACAGGGTCAGTTTTACAGGTAAATAACATGCATAAAATATATTAAATGTACTTATAATCTCATGGGAATTTTTTTTTTAAAGAAACGGTCTCTTTAAAAACAAATAAACAATGGCAGCTCCTATTATTAAGTCTTTATTAACTTTATATGCTTACGGCGCATTACTGCTGGCCTGAGAGCAAAGTTTATCCCCTTCACGGAGAATCATCTTAATGTAGAGCTCTCCTCTTATCGCTATTGTAGAAGTTCTGGCTAATCACCAGCAGAGTTTCTCATTGTTCATGGGGTGTTGGGGACATTTGCCAGCAGATTAAACACAGCCAACAATGTTCCTTTCTCTTGCTATAACACATGAGCGGTGCACGGCTCTTTTAATTGAAAGCAACTCCAGCAGACCAACTGTGCAGAGAAAAAAAAGGTAAAACAAGTGGCTATAGCTGAAATCTCTGATGTCTTTATCTGCTCTGATTCAGGCACAAAACACAGCTTTTTCAGCAAACCTTCAGATAATTAGCTATACTTGAATTCATGCGTTTCTTTATGTTGTCTGTAAATGGCTTCATTTTTATTCAGAAAATCTATAGAAAAATAGGCCAAAATCGCCTTAAGCCGCACTTGTAATCTGACTGGCTGCCATTGGATGTCTGTATTCAGACTGACTGCAGACTGATAAGCAACCTTTGAAGAGGGGGGGGGGGGGGGGGGGTGGGGGGCTAGCTATTAAAGTTCTATTAAATGTGTTTAAAACATGTTCACTACATTACATGTTATAATTCTCATTGGAGCAGCACCACAGTCTCCTCTCATAATGCACTCCAGTGGTGGAGGACCTGCCTCCACAGGAGACAAGCATGACAACCCACCATAAGTTAACGTCTCCTTAGACCTAAGGTTGCCATGGTTCATTCATACAACTCTCAATGGTGTGACAACATAAACTAAACTTTGCTTCATCTTCAACTGCCCATTTTTTTTTGCAATGGTGTTGAACTTTCTGTTCTTCCTAATAAACCTTGGACCTGGCAACCTGAACATGACTAGGACACTCTCGTGAATTAGTACTCTACTCAGTCCTATCTAATTAGGTCAAATACTAGGGCAATCCCCAGGGCTGCAACATGAACCTTGTAGCCAAACTCATCACCACCTTCAAAAGCTCTGGTGAAGATCTAGGCATGTCCTTAGAGCGTAGATTGGTGAAAGCCTTTTTAGTCAACCATCGTTGACGCCTTTATCTGTGCACAGCTTCTGCCCCTAAGAGCATCATTACTTGAGCCCACATGGACTGCGCAGCTGACAATCACTGTAACCCATGCTTTGTTTGGACCTACAAAGCAGAAAAATAAGTGTTAGTAACATGCATGGCAGAAAAGGAACTTGTTAGGAACAAGTTTTCTAGCTGTAGTTCCAGCAATATTTGGCTAAAGCAACCATAGAATACTACAGCCTCCATCATCTATATACCACATATATTCAGTGATAAAATACAATTTCTGGGGTCACAGAGTTACAGACCTAGTGTTATCAGACCACATACTTCAATAGTGTTGGTGAGATCCCTGGGGAGAATAGCGCTGGAATAGATTCAATGTCGGCTAATTGGGATACAGACCACAACAAAAACCTGATAGAAGTTATAACAGTTTTCAAAAAAACAATTCAGCTGAAGTTACAATTGATGCTGTGTATTTTTATCTAAACTATAATAAGTTTTAATAATTAGAAGCAAGCAATCATAGTTACATAGTTACATAGTATTTGAGGTTGAATAAAGACATTAGTCCATCAAGTCCAACCTATTAGGATCTCGTTCTAGATTTTTTAAGGGACCGTATATTACGGTCCCTTAAAAAATCATCCAAAAGTTTCTTGAACAATTCCACGTTTTTTGCTGAAATCACCGCCTGTGGCAGTGAGTTCCAGACCCTAACCGCTCTAACTGTGAAGAACCCCTTTCGCCCCTAGTGCTGGAATTTTTTTTCCACCAATTTTAGGTGGTGGCCTCTAGTTTTTGTAACGGAGTTAATTTTAAATAGTTTATCGCCAATGTTGCTATCACCATATAATGCCTTTTTATTTTCTAAGCTGCACTAGAATAACATCTGAAATTTTGGATGTTGAGCAACACACTATGGGGTCTATTTAAACACTCTCCCCCTTGTGAATATCTGTGAATATTTGTTCTGTGCAGATATTTGCCTTAGGCCCCATTCACACTAAGCGATTTATCGCGCGATTTCCAACCCGATATCGCGCATTTTTGCCACGCGATATAGCGAGAAGTCGCCAGCCAATGCTATTTAAGAGAGCTTTCCTAGCTCCATGTCGCCCGTCGCTTGTCGCTGCCGATTCAGCAGGACCCTTTTTTCGGTGGATTTTGCACAATTTTTCTATATTTTAATGGAACCCGACGGTGAAGTCGCGCTATCGTCGCTGGAACATTGCCCCAAAATTCGCGCTATCCCGGCCGCTTGTTAGCATCAAAAATACTTATTTCCTGTGCTCCTTTAGCTCCATCTAGTGGCCATAATGCAATATTACTTGAAAGCATTTGAAAAATGATCCCACCTATAAAGAAAAACAATTAAAGAACTTTTGTTTTGACATATACAGTATTTGCACAGAGCAAACATTCATGGTAAACGGTCCTGTGAATTGCTTATACCTAGACCCCTATATATAAATGGCAGAGGTTTCCTTTTTTCCAGTTTTTATCCACCACCGGTACTCCCCCGGATTAGCAACTTTGGATTAGCTTGCCCAGCCCATCTACAGTTGATGTGTGATTTAGACACATGAGAACCTCCCATGTTGGGGGAGAACTGGAACTAGTTATTGTATTACTCCCTAATGGATACACGAGGTCCAAACTTAGATCTTGTGGCAGAACCCGTTACCCTTTATTTTAAGGAAGTCAATTCTGATACAGTCTCAGTACTGTTCATATTTCATAATTGTACGGAAGTCAGTGATGCCATAAGGCCTCATTATGTTCCCAATACCTTGGCTTCATGCTAGACTCCACCTCCTTTTTTTAGGCTGCAGAAAGCTATGTTTCTGTGACACACATCTCTGAACTTCAAAGGAAGTGACATTTTGTACGCGTGCCTTGTTCAGTTCCTCAAAGGATCTTTTAGCATTTCACATCAGGGGGCCTCATTTAACAAACTGTTTTACATTAGCAGACCTACCCTTCGCAATCAACTCTTCTTCTGCATGTGTGAATTTGCAACGGAATAATTATATTTTAATTGGTTGCAACAATAAGTCTTTTTTTTTTTTAGACACGTGGCCTTTTTTTTAGACACGTGGTAGTCAAAGTAACTAAACTTGAAGGACACTTTTTAAAATCCAACTGTTTAAAAAAAATAAATCTGGCTGTATTCCTAAATGCACAGAGTATTACTGGATATTGAGTTCTTATAGGTATATTAAGCATTGTTGATCCAGGGAATATCCGATTGCCTTATGGGGTCAGCAAAGAATTATTTTCCCCAGTTGGAGCAAATTGAACCATGCTTTGTAGGGTTTTTTTTTTCCTTTCTCTGGATCCACACCGGGTAGTTTGGGGCATAGCGGTCTGTTTAGGCTTTTTTTTCCTTTTCTTTTATATCTCTATACACACTCTATACACACACACATATATATATATATATATTTTTTTTTTTTGCATTGTTTTTCATTCCTTCGAACAGCAACCGAGACATAATGACGCCCTCCCCCCCGCCCTGAGTGATAACGCTTTCTGCCTTTCTATTGATTAAAGATGAATGTTTATCCTTTTTACAGCCCACGGAAATCAACAGTGAGAGTGGTCCTGGGGCAACACTTCTACAATGAAACCACAGACGTCACACAGACATTTGAAATAGATAGATATATATTTTATGACAAGTACTCGGTCTTCAAGCCCAAAGAGCATGACCTTGGTGAGTAATGCTAAGAAAGCAGAAACAAGCTGGGCTGATTTGGGTAGGTTACCACAATTGATTAAAGAGATGGCATGACCCACTAAAACTGGCAGCTGAGAAGTGATCATATAACCTGTTACTGATGGCAGTTGATAAGGGATCAAATAACATTTTTACCAATGGCAGTTGATGAGAAATTACATGAATGCTAACATGGTAAGAAATCACACAACCTATTACAGTTGGCTGAGGTTGGGAAACCACAATAACAATTATAACTGAAGTTTGCCTTTGCTGGTTCCTCCTCCCCCGTTATCAACATGCTAGCGATATTTTAAATAAAATCTGTTTTCATGATATACCTTCTTTTAGACCATGTGATGTCATGGCTGGGTCTTTGAGCTTCTCAATACATTGCAGGCAGATTATGGCTGGTGGGCCGGCAGGGTGCTGTAGATAGGTTCAAGAAAACATCACAGTACCCTGCCCCATTACTCCTCTTAAGAGCCACATCAGCCTTGATGCAAGCAGTGGGCTGGTTGTTGGGAGGAGCTATGCAAATATCAAAATACCTTTAATGGGTGGAATTCAGTAGAAATTTTTTGCCGGGCTGTATTTGCATAAAGACCGCCCTAGGTAATGCCTACATGTGTTGCCCAGTCTCCATGATTGAAAGAACTGATATCCAATGAATGAAAGGAGTGGGTCAGGTGCATTCAGGCTGGGGAGGAAAGTGCTAGATGATGCTGATGTAATTCACCCAGGAAATGGGGCTGGCTCTCTCTGACTTCTAATGCACATTGTGAAAAGCTCACAGAATGCAGTGACTTCAAAGTGAAGCAATTTCAGTCCAGGAGAGGAGTCTATACCCTTGTGCAAGACTGAAGGTAAGGCTGGAGTTCAGCCTTAAACGTTTCTGTTTATAAGTGACCATATACTACATACTACAAGTGACAGCTGATAGGTGAAAACATGACTCATTGCAAGTAGCAAATAATGAAGGATCACATGTTTCTTTGTCAGTGGCAGTTGGTGAGAGATTAACTGATTGACTGTATCATACAGCAATTGAAATATATCACATGACCCAATACCAGTTAACGAGAAATGTCATGGCCAATGTGACAGTTGATGAAGATCACATGATAAATGAAAAGATACATCAGGAGCCAGATCACACAGATTTTTTTGGCAGCTGTCTAAAGAGGTCAAAAACTATTCACAGAACATCAGATCCCAATGCCCATTTATTTGGATAGAGCAGAGAAGGGCTGGCATTACTGTCAGGCCTTTAATGCTGTCTGCGGATCTTTTGGTAAGATTTCCATTTCAGTAAATGAGGAAGATCACAGACAAAGAAAACCGACAGCAATAGAAGGCTAGGTTCACATATCGGCAATCCGGGGACGTGTGTCCCAGGACCGCGCGATCATGCACAATTGCACACAGCGATTGCCCCGTGGCCCTATTGATTACATTAGGGTTATATCTGCCGAAAAAAAGTACCACTTTTTGTGACACGCACCGCGCGGGTATTTCAACTGTGATCGTGCAAGATTGCACGGGTGGTATTGCAGCAAGAAACTGCACTATCTGCCTGGCACGACTGGGGTGCCATTATAAAATAATGGCACCACCAGCGCAATCGCCATGGTGTGCAATTCCGTGACAATTGCTGCGCGGTCACGGATCGCTCTAGTCGCTCCTGCATGAAATGTTAGGTGAGGAGAGGGTCGGAGGAGCTGTCTTCACAGGCATTGGGTAGACACTTCCAGAAGAGGAGAGTGCTATCTTGTGCAAGGAGGGAGTGGGCTGTGCTAGGACATTGACTCTCCGTAAATCATAAAAATTGCTTCCAAATTCAGTGGCGCACATTGCAAGTGAATTAATACAATTACAAAATAGGAAATCGCTGCAAGTAAGTAAAACATGTTTGACATTGGTACTGTTGGTATTGTAATGTACACTGGTACTGGTCTCATTCAATCTTCTACTCTCCCACAATTATTTCCAGGGTATGAATCTGCTTGCTATGGCATAGTGATGTTCATATTTGAACCTTCTATGATCTCAGGGCTTTTCTAAGAAAATGTTTTTCTTTCATTTTAGTGTTAATTAGGCTGAAAAGAAAAGATAATGCTTGTGCAAAGAAGACTCAGTTTGTGCAGACAATCTGCCTGCCGGATGATGGCATCACCTTCGAAGATGGTCATGAGTGTCAAGTGTCTGGATGGGGGCGGATGAAAGAAGGTATCAATCTCATTTACTAATATACTGCTTTTGGTTTAAGTGTGTGAGTTAAGCATATAGAAGGGAGATAAAGCGAAGAAACTAATTGGCTGCTGAGGGCAGCATGTATTCTACAGGCAGGCATGAATCATGGGTCAGGGTGGCATGTTTTTATGAAAATCATTTAACTGTGTATTTGCCTTTAGTGCAAATTAATTTGATTTGAAATATTGTTTAACTTGTAATATTGGTTTTATTTTTTTCAGTTTCTGTGATTTTTATTTGGAGGTTTTAGTAACTTTTTTTTACTTTTGGGAGTAAAAGAAAACTTGACGATTGGTCACCCTGCACTTTTGGCCCTTAATGGATTGCAAATTAGTTACCTGACAATAAGCAGCATCCATGGAAACTGGGCACTAGTGTTGGCAACACATGGTCACTGTGGACCATGCAACACAGACATACAATTCACTGCATGCCAATATCACCATCAGAACTGATCGTATTTAGAGACATACAGGGCTGTTGCAGACAGAAACGGAAAATGATAACTTGGTCAGTGTTAAAGCCGACCTTTACACTCAAAAATCTAATTCTACAAATGCATCTCTCTATGTATGATGATTAGTAATAACATAGACCTGTCAGGTGTAAAATGCTGTGATTTTGAAATACTTACATTGCAGAGCATTCACTTCCTGCTTTGAAAGGGCAAACTGACTTGTTTGCCAAAGCCATGCACACTGGGATTGCCTTTTCATCAGCAGAGCATTGCTGGGAAATCTCATCTGTAATCTCAGGAGATCTCAGGGAAAGGCATTTTCCTCCCCTGAGATGATGTGCATGGTCACATGTCCTAGTCACATGTGCCAGAAATCCAGGAAGTAATAAAATAGCTAGTAATCTGCCCTTAGTAAACATGGCTACTGCCGGAAGACTGGAGAAGAAAAGAGAAATAAGGAATGCAAAGAATAAAAAGCCGGCAATTATCTAGAAGTATGTGTGTGCAGATTGTCATTACTAAACATTTCTAAAGGTGTGTTTGTTGTCATTTTAAAGATCTGGGTAAAGGTTTGCTTTTAAGACTTGTGATCTAACTATCTGAAATCCTAATCTTAAATCAGCTGGTCTCGACCAAAATCTGGAAACATCTGAGTATGCCCATTAGTTGTGGCATGTTTTAGTTACTCAGCATCTTTGAAAACATTAGAAAGGGTAAAGATAAAGCTAGTATAAGGAACCATTATAACTCAATTGGGCTCACTTGGTAGCTGCCTTTTAATACATTGGTGCAATATGTCAGGTGTCAATGCCCAGTATATAGGTGTCCTGTTCGTACCGTAAATCTGCTGCCCTACACTGCCTACATTAAGTGTCATTGTTTTAGCCCTTCAGTTCACATTCCACCATAACCCCCAGCAGCCACACTCATCCACAGATACATTTTGTACCTTATTCTTTAATCTTCTAGTTTAGACACATTCTCCACAGAGTACAGTTTTCCTGACTTACTTTGCTGTGTTTTCCTGACTTGCTGTGTTTTCCTGACGCAGCAGTGTCTAGACGGTCAAGAGGAAAGGCAGTTCATCTGATCCAGCATTGTCCCTGCCAGGACGTGGACTGGCAGTGTTTCAGGAGCTGTATGTCTTCATTTTACCACGGATCTTCCTTGAATTAAAGCAGAGATGCAAAGTATAAATTGGCTTCGAGGTGTCATTCTAATGGCAGATCTCATTACTACTTGTCAACTCAGTACTGGGTGTTGCAAGGGTGTTTCAGCAAAACAAGAATCCTGTCTCCTCCTCCGCTCCAGTCCCTAGGCATACTCATGTCCAATACACTGTATTCAACATGATGACTCATGGGACCTTAGACCGCTGAACTGGACCGCTGCAGGGATCAGTCTAGCAGTCAGCTGGCTCCAAGGGTCAGGTCAGTATTTCTTTGTTGTTTTCGCTCTAACGCGAAAACTAGCACCTAATCCTTGCAGTGCGGGGGTAACCCCACTGTAAGAGACAAGATTTCTTCTGCCCCGAGTTCTTCAAGTCTGATTGGGATTATGCAGAGAGACAGAAGCAACTGAGACCACCTAAATCCATGGAAGAACTGTGGTTAGCTCTTCTAGATGATTAGGACAACGTACCTGCTGAGTTCCCTAAACCGCGCAAGTGCACCTTTGATGCTGTCTTCAAGGCAAAGCGTGAACATAACAAATATTGGTTTAATTTAGTTTTTTTTTTTAGTTTCTGCACTTTGTCGGTTAATTTTATCATGTTTCCCCACTCTCTCCACAGTGACTAAAACATTTGCACATTACTGATCTCCTGGGTATAGCTGATATTGATCTCTCTTCATCTCAGCTCATTGTTTAACAAGCTACTGTTTATGGGCAGGAAAAATTGTACCCCTACCCTAGATAAACTAGATGTTGTCAGTCCATCTCTACCCTACTAGAAATTTGGTTTAATGCCACACAGGCTACCCCGCTGAATTTGAAAAAGTTGGAGATATTAGATCCCTGGTCGTGTGCTACCCTCTGCCTAACCCAAGTTCACCCTACTGAACCCAGCTTGCCCAAAACCTCTTTATACCACACCTTGCTGCACCCATTTAATCAAATATTCTTTTACCTACCTAGGAAATATAGTGGAAAACCTAGCTAATTACAACTCCTTTTATTTTTCCTTCTCCCCATGTTTGTTGATGGGTTGAAGCATATCAGGCATTTTTAGGCTTTATTCGGATGTGTCTTAAGCATTTGTGAGCGTTTTTATTGCATTTTTATTATATTTTTGACAATTTCAGAAATTTATAATGGATAGAATCCTTAATGCTTTATATACCTCAATGTTAAGTGATACTATATGAAACATTTTCTATTTGAATATACTACACATTGTACTTTGAAACATGTAACAACCAGTGAAGTGCTGTACCTTTTTGGTTCTGGGTAAGGCATTCACCAGCCTCGCCCCCAGCAAACCCAGCCTGCCGAAGCCCCACTCATATGCCACCGAAGCCCCAACCCGGTCCCCAAGCTAGTGGGAGGGAGGAGGAAGGGAGGAGACAGGGAGAAGCCTCCCTGTCCCTCACTTGCTTGTCACTGCTGAGGCATTGAGATCGATGGCCTCAGTGTTTGTTTTTTTCTTTTTTTGATTGGGCAACTTGGACCAATGGCGCTTTACCATTGGTCCAAACCATCCACAGAGCACACACCTCTAACACAGAGTAGAGGCTGTGACAGATCTTGCCTCACCAAGTTAGGTTACACAAGTAGTGGGGAAGCCGATACTGTGTAACCCAACTACCTGTCAAAAGCTGGATGCAGCACTGCTTGTAATTAACAGGCAGCGCTCCGTCCATGACAGGTTACACAGTGGGGAGGCTTTCCCCGCTGTGTAACCTGCTACAAGCGAATCTGAATGGAGAAAAAGCTGTCGGCTTCAGACTTGAAGCGAACAGCTTTTTCCTCCATAATACTAGGTGAGGCTCTGCCTCACCTGCCTCCCCTGACCGCACATCCCTGGTAACAACTGTTGTAATGTCTTGCACATAGATAAAGCAAGAATATCTACATAAATGCTGTTAACAATTCTGTAAAAAAAAGTTTATGTATGTAAACATTTATAAAACATGATACAGTACTATATAGCAAATAATACAGTTTGGTGCAATGCAACAATCGTTTTATACTTTAGCTATAGTCGGGCAATCATTATACATCCATCATTCTTCTCCCTGTGCTACATTCAGAACACGGTGAACGTACTTTATACTGCGCTAAAAATACAGCTCATAGTCACTCGGAGGAAATCAGTGGCAATAATCAAACCTTTGTTACATAAGGGACCTTGAGCACTGTTTTTGTTCTTTTCTGGTTCTATTGCCTGCTACATGGAAATACCTTCAGAACGGTTAATGTGTTCTACTGCAGGGACCTATGACCATTATTAGTAGATGTGTTCAAGCATCCTTCATCATTTATAACTGAACAATACCACATATTCAGGTGGCTGCTCTTATGTAACGTTACACCGATACGAGAATAAAATCTGTATAATTCAGGAAAATGGTGCTTATTATCCAAAACGATGGTGTCCAGGCAGGGCCGGCCTTAGGCCTTTAGGCGCCCTGTGCGAGAAAGCTTTACAGCGCCCCTCAGTGACCACACCCCTCCGTGGCCACACCCTTTAGTGGCCACACCCCCAGTAACCACACCCATTTATTACCCATATATTTGGTAAAATATCAAAAGCATATATTTACTGATCCTCCGCTCAGCCACGCACAGCGGTGAGGGGGAGAGAAGCCGCCACCAGGACGAGCTGTGTCGGCCGCACGGCGCCCTTGTTGCCATGGCGCCCTGTGCGGCCGCACTGCTCGCACACCCCTAAGGCCGGCCCTGTGTCCAGGATAAGAATTGATAGTTGATGCCGAAGACCTCCAAAATTCTGACAAATGTGATTGTGCAAGGCAAGATGGAAAAATAATAACCTTTGTAAATACTAACCTTTGTAAATACTACTGGATACCTATCTTGTGTCATTATATTCTGACTTTAGAAGTGTCCATTCTATTCAGAGATAATTGTTTACAATCTGCTTGCTGCCCCTGAAGAATACAAGAACATAGAGCAGATTTTGAAAGTGTCACTTACCAAGTACCTATAATTCTTCCATGGCCAAGAAATATGTGAGCATAACTTATAGCCTTGGTTCTCAACTGGTGGGTCGTGACCCAAAAGTGGGTCGCGACCCCGTGTTCAGTGGGTCGCCGCATGCCTTCCACTTTTCTAGACGAGAGGCTCCTCAGCCAACCTCTAGCGCAGCACTGTCAGTTCTCGTGCCAAGCGGCCATCCAAAATATGCTGCCCGGCGCAGAGTTTCAGCTTGAGGTGGGATGGGATGGGGCTATGGCCGCGAGGGAGCTCCATCCATATGTGCATTGCTTACTCACGTGTTCTATAGAGTGACTATTCATTTGTATGGTACCCCAAACGCATCTCCCACCCACTGTTCGTATGCCCGCACCAAAACATGCAGTACCCTAATGTTGTGCGTTCCATTGCAGTGCAACTTGGGTCGCAACTTAATGACCGAGGACAAATGTGGGTCCCGAGGTTACACGGGTTGAGAACCACTGACTTATAGGATTCAAGAACCAAGATAATCACAGTGGTGCAAAACAGGAAATAAATATTCTTGAAACAAATTTGCTTTCCTGCCATAAAATATTCAATTTGTAAAGCACAGTTTGATTTTTACAGTGTTGACTGTAGAAAGTAATAAAAAAATGGCAAAATTAATTAATTTATTCTCATTTTTAAGGGTTTAGCATAATTTGAAAGTGACACGTTTATCCCTTTCACTGCCAGAATTGTTTTTGCAAATTTATTTTTTTTGCACACATTTAGATTGCTCATTTTAGGCCTGAAGATTTGAACCCTTCCCCCCAGAATTAATATTTTCTGAAAGCAGATACCCTGGAGAATTACATGATGGTAACTGTAATTGTTTTTGTTGCACAATATTAGTGAAAATGTTGAGTATAAATGCTAATTTTAGTGCACACGAACACTATATATAAACAATATATAATCCATTTTTTTGCACACATGAGGTTGGTAAATTGATACCAAACATGTCAAGCATGTGCGCCTGTGAAATGGCAACACATTTTGGCACCCAAAATAGTCCATAGAAGATGCTTTAGAAACCTTTTACAGGTCATCAGTTTAAAGTTAAAAGAGAACTATGGCCCAACCTTAGTTCTCTTTAGGGTCACAAATATACTAATGTCCTCCTGTTACACAAAACTCAGAATATAGTGGGCTATTGCCCGCTAAATGCTGACAGTGTAGAGCTGCGCTGCAGCCGAGATGGATCCCGACAATATTGCCTGAATGACAGCTGGCTCTGCTTCTCTATAGGCAGAGCCAGCTGTGCCCATCCCTTTCCGTCCATTCCTCCAGTCAGTTCTGGAGGAACAGAGAGAGGCGGAGGGGGGAATCCCTGCGGTGAGCAATGACTGACAGTGACCGCTCTCTGCAAGGAGAAGATCAGAGAAGTCAGCGATCGGCGGTATGTGATCACTTAGTTCCTAAACTATAGAGCTGAAGTGTGACAGCTTCAGTGTCTAACTACGGGCATGAGTGTATTTCACTCTCCCCCATAATTCTCCATTAACCTTGAATGATGGCCCTAGAATTATTGCTCTCACTCTGGCATGCGTGGTGATACCTAGCATCGCTGTTTTCATATGTAGGTGCATCTGACGCATGTGTTTATTTTTTAGGGTTTTTTTATGCTTTGTTGCGATCACAAAGGGGGCTAACAAGACCCCTATGTAATAGCACAGTGTTTGTGACAAGTTCTTTTTAAGAAGACATTACGGGTTTTTTAGACCCTAATATCAGCTAATGGACCCCAATGAAGCTGATCGAGCACAGTTCATCCGTGATCATTTTTTTCCCCCACAGCGACCGGGGAATGAGAACTCAGAAACCAAAAGTGCTAAAAAGCTCAGCGCTTCCAGGTTCATTCAGTGCGGTAATGGATGTCCGATGATCGTGTTGTGCTCTTCCTGCCGAAAATCACGTCATGCTGGTCCTGGTCCCACAGGAAGTGCAGAGGAGCCTGGAATACATGGCTGGAAGTTGTCAGGCTTTACAGCTGCCCAAATCACTTCTACCAGAAAGCAGACATCCAGCTTGTGAATTGTAAACACACTCTCAGCAGCTAATGTATATCAGCTGGAAGTATGTTTAGAAGTTTATTTTACAGCCAGCATACACCCTACGTCGGTGGAATCAAAAGGGTTAAGACCTTTCTTAGCCCTGTGTGGCTTTCATCTCCATTCCTGGTGATCCTGCCATAAAGTTCCTTATTCTGGCACTTATAGGGTGACAATGCTCTGTCCCTGTTTCCCAATCGTGCTCCTGTGTTGTTATCCTGTTACACAGGCTCCCAGGTGGTGCCATCCACAGCTCCAATTTTGTCTTGTTCAGCAGGAAACCGCTGAAATTCAAGCTGTGCATGGCAAGCTTAACTCTGGCTGAATGTTGATCTTTTCGGAGACATGTACTCACATGCTCTTGAGTTTGGGGCAGTGCCTTCTTCAGGGCCGCCAAGCATTACCAGGCTTTAGCATTGTTATGATAAAGGGGCTGAATGATCAGGAGGTGGGTAAGGGGAAGGTCGCTTAAGGAGAATTGAACTATGAAAGCTGTGCCACCCCAAAAAAGACAGAGGGCAAAGGATTGGTCACCAGTATTGCCTGTGGACTCTCTGTAGTTGATCTTTTTCCCCATTACTGATTTACCATGCCTTGCCCTACACCATGTCTCTGTGTGAAGGGGGCCATCTTGGTAGAGGCAGGGTTTTGCTTCCATATGTCAGAGCCTATATGGAGGGAGAACAGTGAGCAGCACAGTGGTGACATCACCAAATCTCACTCCAAATCTCCTGAGACTAGCAGTCGGAGACAGCAGTGTCTTAGATATTGCAGATAAAGAGTTATGAGACTGTACACACAAGAGTGCCTAGACACACTAACATAGCGGGATGTTATATAATATATTCCAGCGGCTATTGGTAATATATTGTTATATATTATTTTACAGCCTGCTCACACTAAACAAAAAATAATTGTAATAATTAATTTCTTTCAATCTTGTTTTCAGATGCCCAAGATTATGCCTATGTTCTGCAGGAAATCAAGGTGCCCTTAGTCCCGGATAATAAATGCAGCAGCCCTGAAGTCTATGGATCTGAACTGAGTACAAACATGCTCTGCGCTGGATATTTTGATTGCAGCAAAGATGCCTGTCAGGTACATTGTTATTGCTCATTGCTGTACTGTGTCTAAAAAAAGCAGCCCTGGCATGTAAAAACATAACAGATGACAGTTTACTTGTCAGCACAGGGTCATTGTATGTAAAAGCAGACCTGTGAAAGAAGAGGGAATATATTCACCTCTTTGTTGACTCATTTGTTGAAATGCAGCCTGTTAGCTGCTTCTGGGCAGCAAGTACACAACCAGTTGGAGTCAAACACCTGTTTCCCCTGCTGCATACTGTGGTTCCTCCCACCAGCTTGTACTTCCTGTAGTAATGAGCCTGCGGGAGAAGCCACAGCATCCGACAGGAAAGGAGGGGGAAGAACAAGTATTTCACACACCTGGAAGTGTGGAGTACTTGAAGCAGTCAGGGAGCAGTTTCCTGCAGAATCAGCTGGTTCCCTGAGCAGTGGCCCTGATATCCTGTTTTAGGGTGGGCTCCTTTCCCTTGCAGGGTCCTATGGAGCCACCCTTGTGTGTGCTAGTAAGCTGTGTATGTCTTCACATACACACGGGCACAAAAAGGCAAGACACTCCCTGCTCCCCACTCCACCCTCCTCTAAGCTAGTAGATGGACAGTAGCTGGAGACTGCTCTGTCCCTTATGCTCCTCTACTGGACAGGAAGTTCAGGGAAGCTGAGCTGAAAGAGTTGGAGCTGCTCTGATGATGATGATGATGATTATTATGATTGTGAGCGCTAGGGTGGAAATACTTTGCTGGGCAATGTACAGTATATTTGTTTGATCTGAATTCAGTATTGCAAAAAAGAGTTTGAGAGTTTAATACGGAAGAGAGTTTTAAGGCAGGTGTCTATAAAGTGAGTGTTGAATGGCTGCTGTGGTTTGCTGCATTTTGCTTTTTTAAATATTAAATAAACATGCTCAATAATATCCGTCTACTGATATAGTATAGTATTTAGCTATTTTATTAAAGGGCTAGTCCTCCTGAAACTGGTAATTCAGTTTTAATAAAAATTATGCTGTTTAAAGAGATTTCTCCTCACTTTCTACACACATTGTCTGAACAGGAAGTGAGTGGGTTTTACCCTAATTATTATTATTATTATACAGGATTTATATAGCGCCAACAGTTTGCACAGCACTTTACAATATAAAGAAGACATTACAATACAATTTAGGACAAGATGGTAAGGGGGGTTCCTATGGGGAATAGAACCTGACAGAGCTTCTAACCCTTTCTATGAAACTTTAGAGTTGGACCTGTAACATGCCGCAAAGCAAATATGTTGTGAGCTGTTGCTCAAGTAGATGTTTGTACACTGAGCGATGAGGACCCTTCTTGCCATAACTATATATTATTATATACTGACATCCAGTGGCGTAACCAGGTGGCTGCTATGGGGCCTGGGGGTGGAAGGGGACCCCATTAGGTTGTTGAGACAAATTAAGCATAGAACATTTTAAGATAACACAGTACTGTATCATTACGGGTTGGAGTGGTTGATGACAACCCTAATCCTCTGTAAAGTCTACAGCAGAGGAGGGCAAACTCTGGCCCTCCAGCTGTGATGAAACAACAAATCCCATCATGCATCTGTTTCTGGGAGTCATGCCTGTGAGAAGTTTGGAATGGGATTTGTAGTTCACAACAGCTGGCGGGCCGTAGTTTGCCCACCCCTTTTCTACAATGTAAGAAAGCTGATGTCAGATGCACACGAGGAGTCTTTGGGATCTTTGTGTCATTAGTTACAGCTCAGAGAGAGGTCGTCAGGGGGGGCCCCCCCATCACATTTTTACTACGGGGCCCTTGCTGACCTCATTAATTTACTTTTCTACATTAATGTAATGATTCATTTTTGTATTTCAGGGTGACTCTGGGGGGCCCCTGGCCTGTGAGCAGGATGGTATCGCCTACCTGTACGGGATTGTCAGTTGGGGAGATGGATGCGGCCAATTGAACAAACCCGGAGTCTATACCAAAGTATCTAATTATGTGCAATGGATCAACAGCAAGATCATGCCAAAAAAAGCTGACAAAAAGAGATGAAAGCTGCACCATGTGACATTTTCAGCTTATTTTTTATTTTAAAAGGAAACTATTTCAGTAAAATAATTGTAGAATGTGAACAGTAGTGAGGTTACTCTGGAATCATCGCTCCAGAATGACGTCTGAATTCAGCTCTATTCTGTCAACTGGCTTTAATCCATATTCAATTGAATACAATGTAGCAACATGGAAGATGCCAAAATGTCATTTCTAAAAACGATGTGATCGGTGCTACTCCAAACCTGCATTTGTTGTTAAAAGGCTGTTTAATAAAAAAGTGAACTATTGAATCTTTGCAGTTAGGCCTTATTCACGCCGGCCATGACATACATGCATTTATATGCATTGATAGGAAATCTCACGTGCATGTAATGATTGTAAATGCTCTAATGCACACTGTGCTTTTACTTGTGTTGAGGTGCATTCAGTTTAATTGTGTTAGGACAAAAAAAAAGAAATCTGTGTGTCCGAGGTCAGATGACATATTTAATGTAGCCACCCGTCCAGTTTTCACCCGGAAAGTCCGGTTTTGGAGTCTTGTGTCTGGGTGTCCAGCCGTCACCGGCACTTTAAATTTTCTGACGAGATGTCAGGCAGCCGCATCGGCCTGAAACCGGATCTTCCTCTGAGCTGCGGGCAGCCTGTGCTTGTTTACAGGTGCCCACAGCTCAGAGGAAGATTTAGGCTGGGTTCACACCTAGGCGTATTGAATATGCGCGTTTGTCGCACGTTTCTAATGCGATTCGCGGTAAAAAAAAGTGTGTTTCCGAGGGCTACCTGGTTGTATCCCAATGTATACGCGCTGCAAATACGCCCCAAAGAAGCTCCTGCACTTCTTTAGGGCGTAGGGCGTTTTGCAGCGCGTTCCTGGTGGGAACCATGCCCATAGGCAATCATTGGTTTTCACATGTTGAGCATTTTACAGAGCGTAGGAACGCGCTGTAAAGCGCCCAGGTGTGAACCAGGCCTAAGGGTTTCAGGCCGATGCGGCTGCCCAAGATTGCGCTTACCGAGGACCTCGGCACTCGCCTCTGGTTGCTCCTCCTTCTCCGGCTCCCTGACACCACGCTGCCTGCCTGTGGACCACTGGTGAAACACTATAGCACAGCCCACCTGAGTGTCGCCCATCCCTCCTGAGTGTTGCACAGCCCATCTGAGAGCCTGCAAAGAATGGCACCAGCACGCCCCCTTCCACCCCAGAAAATGGGGAGCCTTTGTTTATGCAATCCAGTACATTCATGGCATCCAACCAAGCCATGAACGCATTGCATGGTGTGAACAAGCCCTGAGGTTTGGCACAGCACAATCCTTAGCGGTCACTTCGGCATCCATCTTATCTAATTCAGTCGCAACACTGTATGGTGTGCAGTGGGCACTTTCAACACTTTATAGCTGTTCGCATATATACGTGCTACCACATATATGCCACATGCAGTATATGCACATTCGATTTTCTTTGCACTGTCTTGGTGATAAAGTCCACTATATGTATCTGCCCTGCTTTCCGTGAATCTGTAAAGCTGAGCACAGCAGCTGCTTCTTCTATTAATGTCTGCACTGAGCATTGAAGCATTCTCTCAGACTGACAGACTGTGGGAGATTTCAGTCAGGGGGCACGGAGATTATTTGTGATATTCCGCAGACCTGAGGGGGAAATATGAGATTCATAGCTACATAAAAAAATCATTGTAATATATCAGGAAGGAAATTGTCCCTGGTCATATAATATGCCTGTTCATGTAGCCCGAGCTAAAGCTTGACTTGAGGCTTGTAAGGTTTTGTTCCCTCATATGAACCCGCAGAGATAAGGTTAATTGATTTTTTAAAGGTGTATTTATATTTTTTGTTTTTACATTTTTAGGCTTTCTGGTGGACAGGCCGATTTGGGGTGTCTATGAACAGTATGGGGAAAGGTGAACAGTATGGGGAAAGGTGAAAACTAGGGATGCACCGGTACTGGTATTTCGGTATCGAGTATGAGTACCGATATATTTTTTGGGTACTCGCCGATACCGAGTACTGGAAGTCCCATTCAGGTAGCTAGGCGACATGTCATGACTCGCCACCTGTCTTCCTGATTAGCAGGGAAGTCATCCACATGCTTCTCGTCACTAGGTGACGAGAAAGCATGGAGCCGGCTTTCTGGCCAATCCAGGAAGGCGGGCGCAGTGTAATGACGCGGCACTCGGCTTCCTGATTGGCCGGGAAGCCGGCTCCATGCTCCCTCATCATGAGATAACAAGGGAGCATAAAGCCGGCTTCCCGACTAATCAGAAAGCCGGGCGCTGTGTCATTACACGGCGCCTGGCTTCCTGATTGGCCAGCTTCCGACCAATCAAGTCATTACACGCTGCCCGGCTTTCTGATTGGCCGGGAAGCTGGCTCCATGCTCTCTTTTCACAAGTGAAGTACTCGCCCAAATACTCGACATCGGCACCAATACTAGTATCGGTGCATCCCTGGTAAAAACAGTATGGTGGGGGGCGTTGCCTAGACGTGGCGGTGTGAGGACGTGCTTTCCCGGAGCTCTGCACGGCCTCTTCTCCCACACTTGCACAGCGGACTTTCTGGACCCCCCCACATGTCCCACACTCACCAACCCCGGAGCTCATCCCTGCCGTCCACGTCCTGCGGCATACGGCGATATTTCGGCCACGGGCAGTCTTCTGGTCTGCACGATCCGGAATCCAGTGCCCAGCCATCTCACAGCGGTGAGTAACACGCCTCACAAGCGTCCAAATGAACAGGCAACATCGGTCCCTGACCTCACCCAGCCACACAAACAAGCAGCATCAGCCCCTGGCTTTATGCGGGCGGATCGTGAGCACTCCCAAATCCCGACCCCCCAGGATGCCGCAGGCAGACTCTCCCATAAGATCTGGATTCTCTGCCACAATAGATGCTGGCAGGGCAGAGGGGGATAGCACATGGCGGTCCATTCTCCCCCAGCTCACAACTAAATCTGACTTGGAAGACATGGCAGCAGAGAAAGTGCAGGCTCTAAATACAGAGGTGCACGTGATCAAACAGGTGATTTCGTTAGATAGCAGGGCCACCACTGTGGAGGCCTCCATTTCTGATCTAGGGGCCAGGATGTCTACCTTGGAATCTGCTCACCTAGCCTCCCAGCAACGCATGACAACCATGTTCCTGCTACAGGATGACACTGAAAACAGGAGTCGCCGCAATAATGTCAGGCTGAAGGGCATTCCTGAGGCGACCACTAGCCCAGAACTGCGCTCCACTGTCTCAGCCATACTTAATATGTATATTGACAAGCCGCCAGGAGAGCACCTGGAATTGGATTGTGTGCACGGAGTCCAATCGTTTAGACCTCCAGCCTCGGATATACCCAGGGACGTGCTTTGCACAGTCCATTTCTTTACAGTCAAGGAGGAGATTATGAGGAAGGCATGGAATAAAGGTCCCCTTGACTTTAATGGTGCTACTATAAAGGTCATGCCGAACCTTTCCCGTCACACTCTGAGGATGCGCAGAATGCTAAAACCATTGCTAGATGTGCTCCACACCGCAGGAGGCACGTACAGATGGGGGCACCCTTTCCACGTTATCATACAACACCAAGACCGCACCTTTGCCCTTCATTTGCCATCTCAACTGCCTGACCTTTTCTGCTGGCTGGATGTGGCTCCGATCGATCTCCCGGACTGGCTGGACTTTCCTACAGGCACCGTGGACGCTGCTCCCCGCAGCCAACTAGCATCTCACCGCTCCAGGAGCAGACTTCGTTACTCCCTGCGCTCGTCATCTGTACCCGCACCGACGGGTCACGAACCTTGAGGTCTCTTACTAATGGCGAGATATCTTGGCTCAGGGTGACCCGCCACTCTCACATGACATTCCATGACTGAGCCTTATGCACTCTCAGGTATTCCGCTTACCCCTCAAGCACGTTGTGAGGGTTACACATGATGAGGCTTCAGGTTTACAATTAATTCTTTCAACCTTATTTGATTGTCAATGTTATATGCAGTTTCACAATAGCATGGGTTGCCATATCTAGAGGCTATGTTTACTTGTTTGATTCAAATTGTTTTCTTGCATATATTGCTATTACCCTGAGAGGTTTACATTACACTTGTGGGACACCAGGGGGAGAGGTATGACTCCTTAATGTACAGTGGGCATGGGTCGCGGGCCCCACATGGATCGGTTCGGACAGGGTGGGAGCTTTGACTTTCGGTCGGCTCCTAGCTGCACCCGAGCAGATGCTTCCGCCACAAGCGTGCCACGCCGCCTTGGGAGGGGGGTCATGCATTTCATTTCTTATCAAAGTTGTTTTATTTACACTGTTATTTAGATCATCTTGTTTACTCACACCGTTCTCCGACCTACCCCCACGTAGGGCTACCCCGTGAACTGCGCAACGGGTTGATACATTTGTTGACCTTGCCCGTACCGGTAGTCTGGTTGCAATCACCAACTGGTGCATTGCTCACATATCCGCTATCCTTCTCTTTCCTGCTCCTGATCTGTTTCTATGCTCCTCTCATCCCTTGCTTCTGTCTGGATCTCTTTTGCTTCATTCTACCCGGCTCTTTCTGTCCCTGCCCCTCTCTTCTTACTTGGATGCCCCCCACCTGCCTCTGATATAATGACGGCAGTTACTTTCACATCCTTAAATGCAAAGGGGTTAAACATTCCCGAAAAGCGATCTAGACTACTGGCGGATTTGAGGACAGCTAGATCCCAAATTGTGTTCGTCCAAGAAACACACTTCAAAAAAGATCAGATCCCCAGGTTGGGCAATAGGTATTATCCCTTAGTGTATCACTGCTCCTCTCCAGTTTCGAAGACCAAGGGTGTGTCCACCCTCATTGCTAAGACCCTGTGTCCCTATACTGATCAGTACGTAGACCCCAATGGGAGGTTTCTACTCCTGAAGGGAACAATAGGTGGCGTGTCAGTGACCCTAGCCAATGTGTACTTCCCAAACATAGATCAGTTAGGGTTTATCCACACCCTGGTTCAGGTCCTTCTGGAATTCACTGACGGCACTCTGGTGCTAGGGGGGACTTCAATTTCGCGATGGACCCGCTGGTGGATGTCTCTAGAGGCACTTCC